GATAATTAAGGCGCGGCTGCGGAGCACGTGGAATTTAAAAGTTAAATTGTGTTTCGCTCATGAATTATGCATTCGCGGCCGAAGCCCGCTGATTGCGCGGGAACTTTGATCTTCCGGTTTACGTCGTATCGGTCAAACGATCGTAAAAAAGATCGCTGATCCGATGCACCTTTAATTGCTCACCCGTGTCACGAGCTTTTTCTCGCTCTCCTCCTCCGACTCGCCGCGAGTTCCAGTATTTTCCATCGCTCGAGTGTCGTTTTCGATTACGAATATTAATCGCGAGAGTCGGCCGACGGTGATTAAATGCCACGAAAAAGCTTCCTCGGCAAGCGTTCGATCGTATCTCGGTGAACGTGCATTAATTTCGAGACGGCCGCCGTCGCGTCGCTGACTTCTCGCGCGAGTTCCCGCCATTTTCGCCCCTCGAGTTTCGGTCGGCGCGAGGTACGAGTAATTAATTAGATAAAAAGAGAAAATCGACGGGTCGTATGTCTGAGTGACGAATTCCGCGATGTCTCGATACGACCAGACGATATCGCGAGTCGACGAAGATTTTTATTCGTATATACGATAATAGGAATGGAATGAGTACGGCCCTGAAAGAATGTGTGCCCATAGCGAACCTCTTTTGTTTCACACCAAGCCGTCATTATATTTACAAGTTTATTTTATTCCATTAAGAAGCCAACGATACTATCTTAAGTCAATCCACCCAAAAGTGATCCTAATATTAATTCGCTTATATTAATATTTATTCGCTTCTGCCGAAAATGGCGGATAATTCGAACATTGTATAAATCGCATGCTCGATGGCGCGTGATACTTGTAACTTAATCGTTTCCAACTTTCCCGCAGCGCTGTGAACAGATCTCGTTCATTTAATCATACCAGTCCTTTAATTAAATATCCTCGAAGCCACCCTTTATCGTGGAATACCCGTATCGCGAGCGATGGGAAACGTTTTCCATTTTAATTATAGTACCTTTGACTCGGCCGGCGGGTAAGTGCACGAGCCACGAGCAGGCGTAAGAGAGCGAGCTGGTTTTTCCTCGCGGGGCCATTATTTTCGTTTCAATTAGGGCGAAAAACGTAGGACCACCACGCTCGCTGATTCATCCGTGTATGTGCGCGAGGATCGGCGAAGATTCGCATTAACTTTCGCGAAGGGAGGGTGGTCGAAGCCGGGTTTCGGGGTGGGTGGCGGTTTTCGAGTGACTCTTCGAGGGTTCCGTCGACAAAGGCGCCGGAACGCGGATTTCGAGGGAAAAGGCCGGCTCGCAAAGACTCGGGGTCCACTCGAATTATATTAAGACGAATTCCTCCGTCAGCCGGCTCCATGTTATTTTAAGCGCCGTTGAAAAGAAGTTATTACCTTCTTCGTCGAACTCGTTAAGTTCCGGGTTAAGCAGCCGACCGACCTTTCAGCGCGACTTGGCTCGCTTTGACGATCCACTATGCTGGAAATAACGCGTTTGAGCCCTCTCAGTGGCTCAGAGGAATAGTAGTTTCGCCAAAGGATCCCTCGTTTGGTAATATCATATCCTTGCGAGAGAACTCGTCGATGACTCGTCGACTATTATCGCGATTTACCAAATACGCGTTCGAACGAGCCCCTTTGATCAGTTAGACAAGCTTCTCGCAGTACTGACCAGCTCACGGTACCGATCCAGGCTGGTCCCCTCGCTTCTGTTGCAAAAATAAATTAGTAATGCTATACACACGCGTTACACAGCGTTCATCTTCGTCGTTTTATAGCTGCTTTTCGGAATATCACCCCTTTTAGTCGCCATTATTTTCCACGAAGAAACTTTTCGCCCAACGATTTACTCCCCGTTCAATTTTAACCACCCATTTGTCCCCGTAATACGAAGGAATACTTTGTAGAAAGGTTGAACATCCTTTTAGGAAAATTCAGGATGTGCCAGCTTCCACGCTGCTCATACTCGTTTGACTGACGCGACAAAGAGGGAGCAACGATTACGTTATGCGTCAGGCTGGCTTCGATATTATCGAACAGGACGCGTAACGTTGCCGCGTATAAAGCAGCCGATATTGCGTACACGCATCACGAATTCCATTGTGCCAGGGAACGATGTCGCGAAATTGGCGACATCCCCATAGGCGAAGGTACTCTGTCAGTAGCGAGATGCAAATCGCCAAGCCGCTTATGAAATCAGAATTCAACGCGGCGAAGAGAAGAAGAAGGGAGAAAGATGGGGATTGGGAAAAATGCATTCCACCCACGACGTTAAAATCCTGACGACCGGCCGGACCCGATTTGCACTTCCAGTTTCGCCGTACCAGACGAATCGAACGCGATTATCCATGCATCGCGAATGTAGCCCTTGTCGCCTCGTCATAAATCTTAGTGCGACTTCGAAACGAGATTTAGCCGATCCTTGTTGCTTCTTTGCTAGTCGATACTGTGCACCGTAATTTCCGCATATTTTATCATGAGGTATAATTCGACTGGAAAGCTAATTATCAATTGCTAATCAGATTTAGACGGTAGACCTAAGTACCATGCATATTAACACGATAAACGCCACGCCAGTCCCTAAGAATAGGCACTATCTAGACTTTGCGTTCAGGTCTCGCCAGTCCTTATGGCCCGCATGAGGGCTAACTGTGGCCTGAACGGAATTGGCATTGCCATTGAGTGCGGTGCCAATTTTGCTACACTTTCCGTCCAGGTGACAATATAATTCGACTGGGAAGCTAATTATCAATAACCAATCGGATTTAGACGGTAGACCTAAGTACCATAGGTATTTAACACTAACATTACCGATCTTTAATGGGTACCTAACTATAACGTGCACAGATTACAGTCATTTCAGCGATACGATGAATACGAGTGAATATATTGGTTACAGTTCTTTCTTAATACGAGTTGATACCAATTTTATTCTTAAAGCAGGTGTATGTATTCGGTGATTGTAGAAAGGAAAATTCTGGGACCAGTCATATTGACAGGGTTGGTAGTTCTAGTGTTAACACGTAAAACGCCAAGCCAGTCCCTAGGGATCGGCGCTAGACCTTTCATTTATCGCTCTGAACATCTGGAAACACTCGGGTGTGTTTTCCCCTCCATTAGACTAGAGTCGTTGATTTTACACTACCTTCCTGGGGTCAGTCAGTCTAGTCCCAGAATCGCTATCACTGCACGCGCGATTTCACGTTATTTAAACAACGCGCATTCTCGAATAAAGCGTATCGAAAATACAAAACGTTATTACCGACGTAAATAGTTTAAATAATCCTAGCACGCCACTCGCTAACGACCAGAGAGTGACTGGGTGACTGAGAAAACACGGTTGACCAACAGCTCGATCGACGCGTGGAATTAAACAAATACACACGCGCTATTTTGTACAACCCCTTTAAAAGGCAGATGAGGAAATAAAGATTTTTCGCGAAATCCTGGAGCATCCATAAAAATGGCGGTGCGGCAATGGCAGCCGCGTCGATAATCACTCGACTTGTCGCGCTGACGAAGGTAATAACGCGTTCTCCCCCGACCCCTATTAAAGGTTGGATCGCGGCGGAACGAAGGTAATTCGGTGTATCGCTAAAGGAGAAAAACGTGGAGGCGGTACCACAGGAATTTCGACGTCGTTAGGTGTAGAAGGCGGGATTCTTCCGGTGGAACGCGGGCAACGAAAAATCGCCTTTACCGTGGCACAGACTTTTTCCACGGCGTCTTTCCCGGCATGCGGCCCCGATATACCGAGTGCTCCGGCTAGTTTTCCCTCCAGGGCACAAAGTCGTTTCGACAAATGGAACGTCCGCGCGATAGAGGAAATTGTCCCGGCAATAATAAAGCGATACGACAGACGTAGGGGGTCGGGGATGAATTGAACGGCGCAAACCGCCCCTTCACCCCTTACCGATACCACCGATAAGTCCAAATATTACATCCACTTGTTTATCCTTCGAGATGTACCGCTTAATCTGATTGTATTTTTACCGGAGGGGTCCGCAACGGTCCTCGAGAATTATCGGCGGCCATTGTTTTCCCCCGACCGGTGTCACGGGCTCGCGAAATATTTTTCTTCCCCCCATATACCGTTGTCGTTGTTCCGTGGTCTTTCTCTCTCTCTCTGTCTCTCGATTTCCAACTAGATTCGCCGTTTGCCACGGTTTCAATGGTGGTCTTTAAAGCTCCTATCGTGGACGCGATTCTACGGGGAATTTGCTCGAGACTCGCGCGACTGGTCGGGAAAATATTTTGAATTACCAATAGACCCGTTCGTATTTAACGAAAGAGGTACCCGACGATGGCGCAACGAGGATATTACCGCTTCATCGTAACGTATTGTAATAATATTCCGCTTTTCATATGGATTTCTAACTCCGATGCTTGCCTCGGCTGCACAATACAACCCCACGATGTTGATAAATTCGCGACCCGGCAAGCGAGCAATTCAAACTTCCCACTCGTGAATACTATTAAACGAAAATTTGCGTTATGGCGGTTGAACTTCGCGATGCGTTAAGTAAAACGACAAAACCTTGAATAATTCCGGCGGAAGTTCTCACGCGGGTGGATCCGAGTTGTGTAAGAAAGGCGCGCGTCTATTCGCTAAACAGCGTAGCAGTTGCCGTAGAAAGCGATTCGTCGTTTCGAAATTCCCTGCTCGTATTCATGGCCTCAGCTTCTAAGCTGCGGGAGTAAAACGCAGGAGGCTCTCGACCCGCGGAGCTTTTGCTTGAAAAATACTACACGCGTTATCGATCCCGTGCGAACGATAAGAAATTTTTGATCGCCTTCGCGTGGAGAATATTGGCCGTGGAAGGGGGTGGACGGCGAAATTGCGGGGTAATTTTACCGGAACGAGGGCACGTCGTCGTCGATGGTTAGATTCCAGCTGTTCCACGATGGTTGTGGCCGCCAACGGCTTTTGACGGAATCAAAATATTTGTATTCATATCGGGTAGTGCGGTTCGAGGGTAAGTGGCTTTCTATGTAGGTAAAAGGAGGGTAAAGTACTCACGTTAGCGGTGTCGTCGAGTTTCCGCTTCCACGCATCGCTACGTTCGATTAGGGCGTTCCACTGCTCCGAAAGTTTGTTCACTTCCCGGCGAATGCTGCGCGTCAATTCGCGTGCCTGCTCCTCCGCGCTTCTGTAGCCCCTCGAATCACCATCCAATTCTCTTCCGGCTGAAATAGAACGTCATACGTGAGCCTGATACGCACCAGCTTTCAATCCATGCTAAATACGTATCCTTCCATAAGCTCACAGATGTAAGAGTATGTACGAGTATGCGAGCCCCGGATACCCATAAGGCGGAGTGACGAGCATGCAGCAGTGATAACCAGAGTGTCTCAAATCGAAACGGCGATCCGCTTGATCTACGCGGCGGATTAACAAAGAAGGAGGCTTATCTTTAACCCTTTGCACTCGAGAGGCGCCCTTCAGTCGCCATTTGATAAAATTTCGAAGATCGATATTAATTAATATGTCAAGTTTGCTACTCAAAAAAATATCGTCATTTGTATAGCAGAAAATTTTTGAACCCCTACTCCTCTTTAGTCCAAAAATCGTCCAGTGCAAAGGATTAATCCTTTTAGTGCCAACGTCGATATATCGTTGCGTATGCGATGGCGCCTTATTCCTCGCATTGCGAGGAAGCTCTATTTCAAAATAGATTTATAAAACGTTATAAACGGTCTAATTTCATTGCAAAAGAATTTAAAAAATTGTTTTCGAGTTTATTTTCTTGTTATATTCTACGCTGCTTGGTGCCACGGAGTTATCCTTTCGTTCCTAGGACTAGTATTGGTTATTTTATTAAAAATGATCGAAAATTTGATAAAATTTCGAAGATCGATATTAATTAATATGTCAAGTTTGCTACTCAAAAAAATATCGTCATTTGTATAGCAGAAAATTTTTGAACCCCTACTCCTCTTTAGTCCAAAAATCGTTCAGTGCAAAGGATTAATCCTTTTAGTGCCAACGTCGATATATCGTTGCGTATGCGATGGCGCCTTATTCCTCGCATTGCGAGAAAGCTCTATTTCAAAATAGATTTATAAAACGTTATAAACGGTCTAATTTCATTGCAAAAGAATTTAAAAAATTGTTTTCGAGTTTATTTTCTTGTTATATTCTACGCTGCTTGGTGCCACGGAGTTATCCTTTCGTTCCTAGGACTAGTATTGGTTATTTTATTAAAAATGATCGAAAATTTGATAAAATTTCGAAGATCGATATTAATTAATATGTCAAGTTTGCTACTCAAAAAAGTATCGTCATTTGTAAAGCAGAAAATTTTTGAACCCCTACTCCTCTTTAGTCCAAAAATCGTCCAGTGCAAAGGATTAATCCTTTTAGTGCCAACGTCGATATATCGTTGCGTATGCGATGGCGCCTTATTCCTCGCATTGCGAGGAAGCTCTATTTCAAAATAGATTTATAAAACGTTATAAACAGTCTAATTTCATTGCAAAAGAATTTAAAAAATTGTTTTCGAGTTTATTTTCTTGTTATATTCTATGCTGCTTGGTGCCACGGAGTTATCCTTTCGTTCCTAGGACTAGTATTGGTTATTTTATTAAAAATGATTGAAAATGTAACACTTATATTTATATAAGTGTATACGTGACCTACATAAAGCTGTGATCAAACGATGATTATTCTTATGTGTAAATATTGTTTCTAGAAGAGAAACTTGTTTCTATGTTTTACATCGTGTTTTATATTGATGTTATTCGTGCGTTTTTCAATGAATATTGAAACACAGTTGGCATTGCATTATTCTCCTTTTTCTCAGTAATATGCTGCATTTTGAATTTTTGGAGTATCATTCTTAGTTTGGTTTTTACCAATAAATTCGTCCGGTTATCTTCGCATAGGCACTAAAAGGGTTAAAAGGGCAGCTCGAGGAGCGGACCGCGTAAGTTTTACACGAAGGACGAGAGCGGCGTGTGAATATCATATCCAGAAGAACAAAGCACAATCGATCACCGAGTAATAGACTCGTTTTAACCCAGCCCTCTCTTCTCCTCCCCTTACATAAATAAGTTTAAAAATCTGCATCCCCTGTATTTCAACCCCCAAAATTGCTCCGATACAGCCTTTCCTCTGTTTCAACCCCCAAAATTCCTCCGGTACAGCCTTCCCTCTGTTTTAACCCCCAAAATTCCTCTGGTGCATGTAATATCGATGGTATCGTTTTCCATACAATTCGCGGGACAAATATATCTGCCTGTGCGTTTTAAACTAGCAACGGGAATCGTATGCACGAATAAATTAACCGGAAATGCAAACGAACCGAGGGCAGATGCAAATAAATAGGCGACATGTGTAAACAAAATGGAAACGTAAACAAAGATCGTAAACGCGAATGACGAAGCCGCAGAGTTGTCGTTAGATCCAAAGCTCGATTCGACTGATTTCCACGCGGTAAACTTCGATATCGGTGACAGGCAACATGATTCAGGTACCACGGAGTAATTCGCAGTACAGCGAATCGCGTTATTCGCGGTTCCTCGGAGCAATGACAATTCCAAATCATCGCAGAGTAGCCGCGCGCTCAGCGTGGATCCGAGGGCGTGGGAATTAAAGAATCGATGGTATTTCAATTTCGTTTCAATTTCTGATTTTCGGCGGTGAAGTCGATGTTTATCGCAGAGCGTGAAAATAACGATATCTTCTTTTTCCGTCGCATTCCGTTCGACAAGAGCGTAAACGAAGCGCGGGAATGGCATGGCCGCGTTTGTATCCGAACATGGCGTCGCGCGGATGCCTAGTGCTATCGCCGGGAATTAATTGTCCTATGAATCACGCATCGTATCATGCGGGACAGTTTTTATGTGCATGTTTAGCATTGATAACGCCTACCAACCCTACCTGCGAGTCGCCGCCCTATCTGCCGCGTGTTACGATGATTTATGTTTATGGTGCCAGCTGCCCTTTACCCCGTCATTCGGTTCCGCAGTTAGCCCCCGATTCGTCCACCGATATCCATCGACCGGAGAAAAAGGAAAGCAGACCTTTCCCTCTTTTTCCGTACTTGTTCCCGTTTCGTGTCAAAGCGCTGAAAATCACGCGATGCGCAAGATACGACGTCGGAAAGATGATTATTACCGATAAACCAAACTTATTACCTCGGGTTCAATGTGGTCCTTCGCATAATTTTCAGACCTCTCTACTGCTCCGCATCGACGGAGACAAGTCGAAGAGGAGTGTCCCCGAAGAAATCTTTTAATCGAGTCGTTATTCGCGAAGCTTTGCTCACCCTTTGCACTCGACGATTTTTTCGTTACAGAAAAATAGTTATTCCAAGACTTTCTGTCACAGAGTCGACGATATTTTTGAAATCGTAAATGAGAAATCATTTGCAAATTAAGACGTAGAATTATTTTTCTTCGACATTCCACACATCGTTAGGTATTTTTGAATTTGATATATTAATTAACGTCGATCGAGTTGTCTCTTGAGTGCAAAGGGTTAACTCTTTGCGGCACAGGATTTCAGATAATACAATAAACCCATGTTGCACAGAAATTTCATTGCGTTTTAAATGAAACAAAATTGCTATATTTTTACTAATAAAGGAATCGCGTAATGTAGAAACATAAAACCAGGAAGAAAAGATTATTGCAATAAACCTTCTGCTTGCAACAATCGGTGAACCTATACTGGCATGTTGAATGTTGCCAACACAGGCGAATACATTTATAACATGTGTCGAAGGTATTACCAATTGCTTTACGTAAATAAGACGAAATATAAATCTATTGCAATATTTCCAAGTGGGACTAAAAATATCCCACAATGCATTTGATGCATTATGTTGCATCAAAAAGGTGGAACACTTTCAATTCCATCGTGCCCCAAAGAGTTAACCCTTATCGGTGCCTAGCTTCTTACACGCGATTCTCACAAGGTTGTAACTAATTTCGGTAAATACGCGAAAGATTTACGTCTTGTCACCTTCCACGTGACGCACGACTGCAGCGACAAAGTACCATTGTCACGTGAGAGGTGACTTACGACCTATAAGGGTTAATTTGCGCGAAGCTGAATCAAATTGCCAGTGATACGCAGCCGTCCACAGGTTATGACAAAATTGATAACGATATTTAATCCAGGTAAACGATAACGTTGGTCTAACTAGATTAATCACCGACGTTTAATTCGAAATAAATAATTTGGCACGATGTATTGTAGGCCAACGTTGTCGACCTGGAATCCATCGAGAGATTACGGTGTATATAAATCGAGGATCTGTTTAGCTGCAGAGTTTACAGTCGAGGTTACATTCAGCGATTGTTTGCCTGGAATTCCTCCAAGCATCGTGTTCGTCGACACTCTCGTCGCATAGTAAAGAGGCAATCGGCTACGCGAATGTCGACAGGTGGGTAGAAAATCGTATTCGGGGAACGAGATTGAGAAGTCGAAACAGGTAGCAGCGTCGTCTAAATCAGGCCGATCGTGGCTCGCTAAAGAGACATCACGGCTGTACGGGGGGAAACACCTGAAAACTATTTTCACCGAATCGAATTAGGCGGTCGTGTTCTTCATCGGTAAGCCATCCATTCAACAGTTGCCGCATTCGATTCCCGGTCACGTACACCCTCGTTCCCCTAGCTTTTTTCTTTTCTCCTCTTTCTTCCTTTTTCCACCTTCTACAGACTCACCCTTCCGTTCCAACGTCTTTCATCCCCCGATTCTCTTCGCTCACCCCTTCTCCCTTGTTTTAAAAACCGACCATGGGATTTATGCAATTTCCGTCTTCCATCTGCGCTAAGTACCCAGCCGTGTCGCGATTAAGGGGATGATTAATATCGCGTTATTTCTTGGAGTACCACAGAAGTCCACTGCGAATCGTCGGGAAAGAAGCATCATCCATCAAGCACCGTTTTCAACCACGCGCGATCGATTCGGTACCTCGAGTCTCGTGACAGATGACCAGAAAATACTCCGTGTCCACGGATCACGGAGGGCCACACAATTCGTTGGAGAGACAAGGGCGTCGCGACGTGCACACGCCTGGTGTGATGGCAGGGACACGTACGACGGTACTCGATGTAAGATAATGAAGAAGAAGAGCGGAGAGGCGGAGAGACGTGCGTGAAAGAGAGAACGCGGCGCGGAGAATGTGACGAGGCCGCAAATCGGGGATTCGATCAGAAACATCGGATCAGCGCCTCCTGCGAGAAGACAACCAGCGCTGGCTCGGTGCACGATTTCAGTCACTCGACAGGGAGTCACGTTCGATGAAACGTGCCCGGCATCGAGCAGTCTCGGGCGTTGTCGTAACGTCAATAAATTTCGACCGATATAACACGCCGCATCGCAGCACGCCTGCACAGATCGTGCAACGGCTCCCTGCTATCGAGTTCTCCGGCCAGCTGCTCGGATTTGGCCCGTGAAATCGAATCGAATCGAATCGGATGGGATCGGACCGTGCCCCCCGTACCTTCCAATCGCTATTCGGAATTTGCAACCGGCTATGGTGACTCCACGGGTGCATCGATGATCTTGCGATCTACACAATGGCGGAGAAGATATCTCGTCGACTAAAATACACCGACGACTATCCAACGAGCATACTTCTACGATGAAAATATCCACGTGTCTATTCCGAGCTCCGAATTCTCTTTTATTTCGTTACCGTACCCGTTACCGTCGAATATTATCTCCATTTAATATTCCATTTTAGCCAAAACTCGTGCGTTTTCGGAAAGACTCGCAATTTTAGGGAGAAATTTACATCCCGGATTCGTTTTCAGGAAAGCAAACTCTGCCGGATATCTAATGGATATTACAGATTGGAGAAAGAGTTAAATTTGTTGGACAATGTTATACACCTTGCGTCAAGTGATCGATCAGACCTAGAGGAAGCATACAGCGAGGAGAGAAAATCGAGATAGACGATTGAATATCGGAACGAAATTCATAGAAGCAGAAAGCGTGGTTCGGAAGGGGTCTGCGAGACTGGAGGGTCGCGGCTGAGAAACGGGGAGAATTGGGGTGGAAATAGGCTGAGGGTGGTCGACTGGTTTATCGGGATGACTAGTTTGCAAGGTTTTTAGAAATTCCACGTTTTAACTCTTTCATGCTTTCACGATGCTCATCTGTCGACATCAACTCACCGAACACGGTCGCGATGCAATAGAAACTCGATTTTTTGAAAATGGAAAAGAGAAAGATGAAAGAGAGTGAGCGTGTGTGGAAATAGTAGCGATATGAGAGCGAATAACATTTCCCTGGGAAACTTGGCGAAGTCTCGGCTTCGAGTTTCCGCTATCCTATGGGACGCCTCTTCCGAACCTTGCAAGTTTCACCGGTTTCCATGTACTTCGATACTTGTAACTCGATTGATACAGTCTCGCGGTTCCCCCAAGTGGTTTTCGTTAACATTGACCACGCAAGTTTTTGTCCCCACGTGGAAACACAGGGAAACTGCGTTATTCCTCGTTTAATACGATCATGGCGGCACTGATTTTTGCGTTTTTCGCTATAGGACGGTGCGTGTATTTAAATACCCTAGGTTACTATCTTATCTATTAACTATTTTACTATTATCTTACTATTTTTCTTTTGTTTCGGCAGTTTAGTTCGCCAAAGTACCGTTTCTAAAAATATGCACAGTGCGCGTGGTTTCTGTATATACGTTTTCCTAAGCCTTAATTAATTATTTATATTATTATACTATTATTTATATCGTGGGATAGAGAAGACTGGTTCTGAGACACCAAAAATTCACAGAACAACAAGAACGGAATAACACGAACACAAAACTCATAAAACTAATTTAACTTAGGAAAACAACACCAAGATAACGCAACGAAAACACATAGAAACGCACTCTAATTTAACTCTCTTTACAAAACCGAGCGACTCACGCTCGTGCCATGTCACAATTTCTAAGGATCCTGTTTTGGTCTTCAAGGATCCTGCTTTTATGCTTCTCTTAACCTACGCTTCACCTCCCCCTAGGGACCGCGCAATTTAATTTTGCTATTCAAAATAACTTTTCCATTTGCTTCTAGAAAATATTGATCGGTTTATAATTTGTTTTTGTTGGCAATGGCCGATTCGCGATTTCTTTCCGAAATGGTATCCTACAATATTATTACTTATTAATTTTAGATAATATTTATATCTATTAATTATAGGTAATACAGGCATTTAGATATTTCCAAAACTTTGCGATAAAATGTTTAATATAATTATTAATGAAACGTAAATTAATTATTTGGATGACGGATATGTGGAGTGGATGTAGGGTTCAAATTCACGACTGGTACTGGTCTATTTTGCCGTAGGTTTGGGTATTTATAACAGTTTTGGCTGGAGGAGAGGTTATTGATATTACTGTGTCATGGGTCCAAGGGATGGCTATCTTGTAGTTCTTGTAGTTTCAGTGATTCATTAGGTCTGTGTCAAAGGTCTGGGACTACTGGTCGGCTATCTCGTGGTGCGTCACGATGTGTCACAGGGCCAATTGTCTGAGGCCCCTGTAAGTTTGTCAAATGCGTCACAATTCCGTCAGAACCGCGTTGAACGATGGGAAAAAAGACGAGTACGATGTAACAAGTATGTATACGAGTATTCACGAAAGCTAATTAATAGACGGGGAGAATTAAGGAAGATGCACCGGGCTGTGTTCCCGTGTCGTTATAAACGAGAATGAAAACGAAAGGCATTGTGTCTTTTGTTCCGGTGAACAGCACGGCCGGCGGCGTTTGTTTCTTCGCTTAATAGACGAGTCCATTTTCTGGCAAGAACTCCGCTGAATCCTTCTTGGTCAAATAACCATAAATTCCGTGTTTCACGTTTCTTAATAATCCCGGTTTCGAGAGGGCGGAATTATCTAAATGAAATATTCAAGAGGGACCACGGTTACACGTCCGCCGCGGTTATTGTACGTGAAAGCCGGTGACAAGAACGAATGAAGCTCGTTTCCAAGGGCCGCTCTTGTTCCGTTGGCTTAAGTAAAAGGAGGAAAAAACGAGGAAGCGAAAGAGAAAACTTCTCGTATTTTATCAGCCCACTTAACAATCCCCTTCATTCCGCCGCGACAAACTCCCGCGAGGAGCCGCCCTTTGAAGCTACAACTTTAATCAATTTTCACCCCCCTCCGCCCCCTATGCGCCAACTGCTTTCAATCCTGAACGTTGACCCCCAAAACAGAGAGCACCGCGGAACTAGTTCCACCCTTGTTCGCGACACTATCGAAAGGGAAGTTGATATTCGCCGATTTTCATCCCCCTTTCCACCCCCTTTATACCCACCGCGAATGTTCCATTATTTCGCCAGGCCGAACAGATATTTTTGCAATCCGGAGTAGCTTAGATCCGCGATATTCCTACTCGAAATTTCAAATTATAATTTTCCCAAGCGTACAAAGCAAGCACGGGTCAACGCACCCCGAAACGAGCGGTTCTTAATATCCTAAAAGCCTCTTCTCTCCTCGTTCTTCGTACTCGAACTTACGAGCAGAAGTCTGAATTCTTCTTACCGATCGGTGGACCCATTTCCTCGTCCCTTTTCTCATTTTTCCCGCGTCTAATTGGTATGAAAAATCGCGGAAAGAAGAATGCCGCGAATTACCGGGATTGAAAGCTCTACCGCGCGCTTTAATTACCTGGCTCGCGTGCTATTGGCGGATTCAGTCGCGCGTTGCGAACCGGCCTCGCGGAAACTAACGAATGTACTTGGCCGACTTGCTTTACACTTTCGCGCAAACTTTCGTCGCGCGCATTTCCCTTATCATCGTTTCACCGTCGGTTTTCCATCGGCATGGAACTTCGTCGCGAGTTCCTGTCGAACCACCATGTTTTTCCTTCTGCTTAAAAAAAAGAAAAAAGAAAATATAGTTGAAGAATACGTTCGTTTATCGGCCGAAGAAAATAATTTCTTAGCTCGGACGCTGCGAATGTACAGCTGGTGGTAAACCGTCTTAATTCCTTCTCCCAGGGGGTTCCTCGCGATTGTTCCTCGGCCGTCGAAGGAAAAAAGGATTGTTTTACCTCGACGATTAATTTCATTTGCCGAACCATTAATTTAAATTGGTAACCAGCGTCGTTAAACTCGGCTTCGCAAAGCTTTACTCGGCTTTACGAAGTCTTTGAATAGCTTTAAGAGCCTCGAACTTGGTTACTCCTCCGAGTGCTCATAAAGCGTTCAAACATATTTCTACGGGGGTTCAATTTTAATTAGAAGCAACACAATTACTTTTTATAATTGGATCTTTAATATCGCGATATTACACGAGGGATTCCCCGATCCGGGCCCTAATTACAACCGGAGGATGTAATTAAAAATAAGCACGTTTCGAAATTAATTAGCTTTGACGTTCTTTAAAGACGTCTCGCAGAGCCCCGTAATTAACCTTAAACCGCGATATTCCCACCCCGTATTTACCTATCAAATTCCTATGAAATTGCCGCATGGAATAAGCACGCGAAATCCCTTCGATACTAAACCTATCCAACTGCAAACTTACCACTCTCTCCGCGTTGATAATCCTAGTTTCAGTCCCCTAAGTACACGAAACTCCCGGCGAACGCCGGGGAGGAGAGAGAGGAGAGGAGAACTCACCTTCGGAATCCGACGTGTCAGACAGCGGTGGCTCGTTGGCGATGTACTGTCGTCCGCTGAGCAGGTTGTTCTCCACGATCGGCCGTTTGTCCTCGAGCTGTCTCCTGAAGCCGCGATGGTCGTCCTGCAACGCAAAAGAACGCGTGCACGTGAGGCCAACGCCATAAGAGGGAATCATCGGTCGCCGTCTACTACTCGAGGCCGCCGCTGCTCGTCTACACGCCCGGCATGGCAAGTAGGCTAATTCGCGAGACTTTAAACGCGCGCGGAGGCCCATCGACGTCGCCTTCATCTCGACGCGTGCATCCGTAATTTCGTTTGACAGGGCATCGCCGTGAGCGTCGACGACTCCGTGCCACGAGTGGCTGCTGACGGAGGGGTAGAAAAGGAAGGAAACGAGCACGGGGGCTGCGAGGGGGGAAGAGGGCGAGAAAAAATGACCTGCAACTTTCACGATATCGCGCACAGCCCGACGGCTTCTCGTTAACGAGATTATCTCTTCCTCTCGCTCTCGCGGCTCTCCAGGAAATTTAGACACCGGGACACGCTTTTTGCCGCGCGCCTTCCTCCGCTCGTTTCCATCTCGCTGCGAGCCGGCGATTTTTTCACCACCACCACCACCACCAGTCACCAGTCACCCCACCTGCACACGCCGGAACACGGCCTCTTTTCCTTCTCGCGCGCTTTTTCCCTCCCCCTTCGCCCCGCATTTCCGCATTTCCGCGCCACTCGGACCCGCAGGGTGGCGCGAGGCTGTTTCTCTCTCTCTCGCACGCGCGCGCGGAATCCCTTCAAACGGCCCGGAATAATTCACCTACTTTCGTTGTTGCGGCCACCGACGTACACACAGCCCTTCGCAGCTTCCGGCAGGCTGACGATGAAACGGCGCGTTATTAGCGCCGGTTTAAACACGCGTGGCTCCAGCCGTGGCCTCCCGCGGAATTATTTCGGCCCGATGCGAAATTGCGGTTACACCGCCACCACCCACCCCCCAAGCTGTTTCTTCTTTCGAACGCTTCTTTCGTTTCCGCTTCCCGCGTCGAACCCGTTTAACGAGCAACCGCCGCAAACGAAGACCAGGTCGCGCAAATTAATCCTTCCCGCGAATGTTAGACCAGAGTCTTCCAATCAAATTATCGTACCTGCTGCTCTCTATTACCAAACGTTCCCCGTTACGTATTTCCTAGGTCCTAGTGTTACTTCGATCGCTTTTCTTCTCGGTGGAAGGCAAAATTCGAGGTCTACCTGTTTTAACCCTTTAAAACCTTATACCCGACGTGTATTATCGAAGGACCCTTTAACGCTAACCTTGCCACAATGTAAATAACCGTGTTTAAATTTTCCATTAAAAATTCTTTACCCTGCGTTATTTCCATTTTCTCCATTTTCGATTTCTCCATTTTCGTTCAAATTCCTCCTTCGTTTCCCTATCCACGGACCTATTGACCGGTCGTGGTAGACTTAGCGTTAAGCAAAGTTCTCGCAAGAGTTAGAACGATTGGTATCGAAGGTGCAGCAGAGCGTATTGTTTTGGGGACGACTCGGTGAGGTAGGAAAGTTGCGATGTACGTGATCTTTGGGTATCTATCTGGTTGCTTGCAGGTCACGCGCAGGTCGATGACATATAGGCTATTACCGAAGTATCAACTATTTCGAGGACAGATTGTTCGAGAAGAGCCGCGATTTTTCGTAACTTTCTAAACCCTCGG